TTTTTATTTCTTAATATAGAAATAAAAATTTTTAATAATAAGAGACATTTGAATTATGTCCTTACAAATAATTTAGGGACCTATCTTTAATTATAAATAAAATTAGAAATAAAATTTATTTTAGTTTTTTTGAATCAAACTGTAGGTAAAATCCCTTAGAAAAATCAAAAAAAAAATATTTATACTTGAAAAAATAAAGAAAAGGCTTAAAAAAAATCAAAAAAATTTTAAAATCAAGTAATTATTTTTTCTTAAGTTTTAAATCTCAAAAAAAAAATGTTTTTAACATATTTATTTTCTATTAAAGTGTTTTTATCTTTGACTTTATAAGTAGTTTTTATTATATTTACTTGTTGAAATATAAGAAGTTATTTCAAAAAAAGTAAAAAAAGACTGAGGTTTATAGACAATAATATTATTAAAAAAATATATAGACTTTATTATAAAAAAATATTATTTTTTTGAAATGTTTTTTGAACTGGCAGAAGAATTAATAAAAAAGTTTTTTTATTTATTATTCTTATATATTTATTATTGTTTATATATACAGTATATTTTTTAAAAAGTTAAGTCTTATATAGATATATATATTACAATATATATTTTTAGATTTATTTTATTATTCTTTTATAAATATAAAGGTTGTAACATATTTTTATTATAAAAAGATATCTTTTAGATCTTTTAATAAAATAATCAATAATTTTACAATTATAAAATTATCTTATTTATATCTAAAAATCTTTAATAAAATATATATATTTTTTTAAGTAGGAATTATTATTTATTTATTTATTTGTATATAGTATAATATACATTATAAAAAGAAGCAACATCTCTTATGTACAATATGCAGTAAGTTAAATGTTAGCTTGCTTACAGTATCATTTAACTTCTACTAGAAAAGAAATTTTAAACTAGTATACTAATTAAATAATACCAAGCAGCTATAAATATATACTCAGAATTTGGAAAGATACTATTATGATAGTTGAAATAAGATTGTCTATATATTTTGCATAGCTAAAGTTACTTTGGATGAATATTTTTGTGACAAGAGTTGGGATGTCTATTGTGACATAGTTGTGGGCCAAGGTGTTATTATTGGAGAAGGGAATGGTTTTTTTGATTTCTTTAGTGGTAATATTATTATTGTTGTAGGTGCCGGGGTTGTTGTTATTGTTACTGTTGTTGATATTGTCATTGTTGTTATTGCTTTTCTTCTTTTTAAGATTTGGGTTCTATTTAATATCAGTAGAAAATACAGTATTAGTTATACTGCATCTGGATTTTCAAATGAAATTATAGGTTGATGTGAGGGCTTCAGTGAACACTTGGATTCAGTTATAAATGTCAGCTATAGAAAAAATATCAGTTGGAATTCTACAAGCAAGTTCTACTACTTGTTGTATATTTGATATAGGTTTGTTGCTGCCATTGGAATAAAAGATAGAGTTTATAGAACTTATTATTTGTTTCGCTTCCTTTTTTGTTAAAGAACAACTGAAGATATGGGAGATGCTTTCTGTTCAGAGATTGCATCTGGGACAATATGGATCTTTATAATGCTTAGGGTATAAGCAATGAAGATATTCTCATATTGGAAATATATTGGAGAGCAGTTTGACTCTGAAGATGATAAGATTGCAGTAAGTATTATTGTGAAGTTCTTTTATAAGTCTGTTAGAGGAGTTAATTATTTTGAGACAAAGATCTTTAATAAAATATTTTATTTTTGACTTTTATATTATTTATAATAAAGCAAATTAATAATAGTTATATTTAAAAATAGTTTTCTAGCTGAAAAAGTTTTACTATTATAATAGAATTAGGAGTGAATATTTTATTAATTTTAATAATTTTATATATTTTAATAGCTTTAAGATAAAAATATCAGTAATAAATATATTTAACAAAATAAATTTATAATTGAATAATGATTTTTGGAGAAGAGTTTTCTTTTAGAGTCATTAAATATATTTTTTAAAATCAAAATTATTATTATTTTTTAATAATTTTTATTAAATATATATATATTTGGAAAAGAGTTTTTATATAATTTATAAATAGTTTTAAATTAATATAAAAAAAAATAAATAAATAAAATGGAAATAATATTTATTAAATATAAAAATCTTTTTATTTTTGATTTTTTAGCAAAAATATTTTTTAAAAAACTTCAACAAGCTAAAAAATTTTTTATATATAATCAACTTTGAAATTTAATTATAAGAATTTAAACTATATAGAAATCAAAACTTTAATTATATTTATTAATATTAGTTTTTATATTAATAAATTTTTAAAAAAATATTAATTTCATTAATTTATAATAAATAAACTATTTATAATTCTTATTAATTTGTGAAATAAATATGAAAATAATTAAAAATAATTTTTAAAAAATTCAAATTGATTAAAAAAAAATAATTAATTAGAATTTTTAAAAAATATTAAAAATTAAAAAAACATTCTATATTAAAATATAAACTTTGAAATTATTTTTTATAAAATAAAAAATAAAAATTTTAATAGAAACTAATTTTTAATTATAAAATATACATTATATATTTTTTGTTATTTACAGTAAATGATTTTTTTTTTAATTTTATAAATAATAATTTTTCATTTATATAATTAAATTTTTTTTTTAACTTAAAACAAAAATTTAAGATAAATTTATTTAATAAATCATTAAAAATAAATTAATATTTTTTTATATTCTAAAAATATATTTTGAAAGTTTATATTAAATTTTTGTTACAAATTTAACATTAGATCCAATTCTTGATACATTAGATATGAAAATCCGACCTTAAATCACATGTTACCAGCTTAGCCCCCTTTTTCGGGCAAACTAAATGTATGAATTCTCGTGTTACAAATACAGAATATATGTATACAATATCGTGAAATAAAAATTTATGTACCTCATTGCAACTCATAAAGTAGAATGAAGGCGGAATTTTTTAAAAACCTATCGCAAGATTTTATCAAACTTCTTGAAACAAATGATGAATACAATGTTATCATAGAAGTAGGAGAAGCACCTGCCGCGCAATCATTCAAAGTTCACAGCGTTATATTATGCCATCGTTGTCCCATACTTTATGATGAAATAAAAAAGGTGAACTTTAATGAAAATAATATTCGAGTTATTACAAAGACTCAAATTTCGGCAACTATCTTTGAAGTCATCATAAAGTAAGCATAAATCTATTTTAATTTATTTTTGTCTATTAATTAATTTTTACACTTTGAAACAGATACATCTATAGTGGAGCCGTTAACTTGGAAAATATCGAACCATCTATCATCTTTGATATTTTAATTACCGCCAATAAATATGGTCTTACTGAATTGTTACAATATCTCGAATTATTCATACTTAAAAACCAAATCGCATGGTTAGAATCAAATTCGTTCAATGTATATCAGGTTTCCACTCAGTCAACCAGCTTCCCAAATCTACAAAAATTTTGCAATGACCTTATTACAACAAGACCCAGCGTTCTTTTTGAATCTAACAATTTTGCATCCATACCCGAATCTATTTTAGTACCTCTTATTCAGAGAGAAGATTTAAATTTGGAGGAATCAAAAATTTGGGACTATGTTATTAAATGGGGATTGCTTCAAAACACAACATTACCTCCAGAAATCAAACAATGGACTAATGAGGATTTTCAGATTTTGAAGAATACTTTGCAGGGATGTTTACCTCATATTAGATATTTTCATATTCCCGGAGAAGATGTTTTTAAGAAAGTGCAACCATATAAGAATATTTTGCAAAAAGACATCTGGAAAGACATTAGGCAAAAATTACTTGTTCCTAATGAGCCGGTTAAATCTTTGATTCTACCACCTAGAGAGATTCGAGCAATTAAGTCTCAACATGAAAAAATATTACCGGACGAACGGAACATGTCGAATAATAGTTGGTCAAACGAACTAGAAAACATGCCGAACAATAATTGGTCAAACGAACTAGAAAACATGCCGAACAATAATTGGTCAAACGAACTAGAAAACATGTCGTACAATAATTGGTCAAACGAACAAGAAAACATGCCGAGCAATAATTGGTCAAACGAACTAAACAATAATTGGTCAAACGAACAAGAAAACATGCCGAGCAATAATTGGTCAAACGAACCAGAAAAGCTTCTTGATTCGACAACACTTTTTTCAACCCTTATTTCATATAAACATGTGGCTGAAATTTCTTCTTGGATTGACCAACGTTTAGGAACATACGGAATTGATGAAAATCCATACGAATTCAAGTTACTTACTCTTGGAAGTAATTTCGGATTCGACTGCAAAACGTTTTGGCGCTTCTGTGGTGGTCGTAGATTTACAGTAGTTGTGATGAGAATCCATGGAACCAACGAAATTATCGGAGGGTATAACCCGCTTGAATGGAATGTTGATAAAAATTCGTATACTGAAACAACAAATAGTTTTATTTTTTCGCTGAAAAATGGAAATCAGAATTCTATAATCAGTCGAGTAAGAGTAGGAGCATCTAAAAAGGCCATTTTCAATAGTCGCTACTTTGGTCCAAGATTTGGTAGGCGAGATATTTATGTGCCAGAAAAATTTAACTTGAAAAATTGCATGTGTCAATGTGAATATTACGAAAAGCCTATTAGGAATACATCAGAGAAGTTTTCAGTCGATGAATATGAAGTATTTCAAGTTTATCGGAAGAGCTCTTAACAATCAATAATTAAAAAGTAATTAAGTAATGGCCTATGTAAAGAAGTTGTATGATACTGTATTTTTCATGTTATTAAAATGCAAGTTCACCCTTTTTAAATATATTGTTAAATATTTATTTTTAAACCTTCCATACATTATTTCTACTGATCGGGAAGAAATTTCGATAAAAATATACAGTATCAATAATTAAAAACGTGTAATGCTTGGGAAAGCGATAAATTCAATTTGAGATAGTCGAAATTTTTTTATTTTTATTCATTTTCTGTACGCAGTCTGACTTGAAAAACTTCATAATCCTTTACGGAGAAACCACGGCAGTCACTTCTAATCGGATTCTCATAATCATTCTTTTGACAATAGCAGTTCTTTCCTGTTTTAAAATTACCTTGCAGTAGAAAATCTAGTGAACCGAATGATGGGCCACCTTGATAATTGTTATTAATCGCTCTCAGAGAATTTCTAACTCTACTAATAGTTGAATGACTTGTATTTTCGGTTTTTAGTGAAAATATAAAAGAGTCATTAGTGCACGAATACGATTGAGTATATCCATCCCATTTATAAGGTTCCCATCCAACAGGATTATATCCACCTAACTTTTCTCCGGTCTGTTCAACTTCCAATACTACCACTAGCCTCTTCTTTTTGCTGCATTTCTCCCAAAATGTACTATATTCAAACCCATCCTTGCTTCCCCGAATTAATAAGTCAAACTTATATGGATTATTCTCAACGTTATGGGTGACTCCGTCTATCCAGGAAGAAATTTGGGCTGCATGTTCATTAGTAATAACACTTGACGCCACATTAATTTCTCGTACAGGTAATTCTAAAATAGTAAGATCTCGAGCTGGTAATATTATTGAAGAAACAGATAATTGTGGTGCTATAATGTGTTGCGCTAAATCATCTAAGAGATCGGGAGGTAGAATTTTTTCATAAGGTTCCAAATCCTTTATGATACTTTCTCTCGGAAATTGGAAATATCTTATATAAGGAAGACATTCTTGAAGTGAGTTCTTTAAAGCCTCGAAATGTCCATCATTCCATTCTTCTATATTGATTGGCAGGCTTTGAACTTGTGCCTTTCCCCATTGAATAATGTACCTCCAAATCTTTACTTCCTCTAGTTGCAAATCGTCCCTTTTAAGAAGTGATACCAGCGCATTTTTTGCTAAATAAGTGTACTCCACTGAACCAAAGACCATTTGAGGATGCTTTACGATAATATCGTTATAGAACTGTTGAAATGTTTTAAATCTGTCATCGCGGAAACTTAAATTGTAGAATTTTGAAAAATTGAGACGTAACCACGAAGCATGATTTTCAACAAGAAAAGATTGAAGATGTGTAATCAATTCTTCAAGAGAAAATTCATAAGCGATATTTAAAAGGTCGGCAACTATAGAGATTTCTAACTTCTCCAAGTTAATAATACCGCAATATATATACCTATGTCATAATAATTGTCAGGTTAGCTTGCGTAGTAATTTTAAAATTAGATGCAATAACTCACTTGATGATAACATTAAACGTCTTGGCAGAGATATTTGGTTTTTGAATAGTTTTAATATTATTCCCGTCTAGGGAAATTTCATTTAACTCTTTATAAAGTGAAGGACAGCGATAACGCAAAATGGTTGAATGCGCATTGAAAGATTGTCTTAATGGTGATTCATCAACTTCAATAACGACATCATAGTTGTCACTATTTTCAAGAATTTTTTCGAGGTCACAGGATAATTTTTCATAAAATTGGCTTGTCATTTAGATCGGAGGGAGAGATGAATTCTCAGCACGTGCAACCGTTACCATAAATAATTAATCCATTTTAAAGCATGTGATGCAAATCTTGTGTTCTGATATTATTGAGGATTAGAAAATGGTAGGTCTGTTGCCTATCGGAAAATGCGTCAAGTATTTCCTTCCTGTTTTACTCTTCTGATTATAATTACAGTGCCCTCCATTAAATGAAGGACCACTTAAGAATTATTATAATTAATCGAAAAAATTTTTCATATATCAAACTTTTTATTTTACTAATACAATCAATTTTTATGTATTAAGTAAACTTATACCCTATAATTAATATTACTTATAATAAATTTTTTATTTAATTTGGTTAAACTTTTATCATTACATGTAATAATTTTTTTCTGAACAAAGTTTTTTATTTTTTTTGATAAAATTTTGACACCCACCCGATTTTATAACTATTGTTTTAACAAGCAATTTGTTATTAATAAATTATATTTAGAATATATTAAAATTCTTAAGTATTAAGTTTTATAAAAATTTACCTAATATTTAAATTTTTATTTAATAAAATGGAAAAAAATTTTTTACTTTAACAAAATTATAAAATTTAATATTAAATATTTATTTAAATTTAATAAAAACCTTATAGTAAGTGTATTTAATTCTGGAAAATAACTTTACTAAGTATATAAAAGTAATATTTAATAATAATAAAAAACCTATTGTATGTAGATACTATTAATAATTAATTAAAAATCAATTAAAAATTTTTTATTAAAAATCTTTATTTAATAATAATAATTTATTTAAAATTTAATAAAATTTTACCATAATCTATAAAATTTATAGATTATATATTAATTTTGTAAATAATTTTATAATTTTAATTTTTTATATATACTGTATTTATACAGTATATGTTTTTTTTATATTAATAAAATAAAAGCAATAGATTTTTTTAAATATAGAATATATATATGCTATATATATTGTTGTGGGCAAAATCGACATAGGCGTACAACGCGATATCACGTTACGTCATCGTGTTGTCGTGGATTGTGGGGA